GCCCACAGACCAGCTAATTCTCATGTTTTTGTAAGTAATGCTAATGTAAGTCCCATAGATTCGAGAGGATCTGCGAATTCGAAAGGGAAACAATGATATTTTCCAGAACCTTTGGAGTATCTAACACAGTACTTCAACGGAATAATGGTCTCTAATCATAAAGCCATTCGTCAGAATTATTCCTCTGTCTGTTGTCAATCCACGTCTCAACCAAACTAGCACAGAACCGTCAGGACACCGTCGACGAATTCTCCGCCACGAATTCCCAGGGCCCATTATTCACAGTTGATCCGTGTTCATGGATGATTTCAGATTTCCACGCATCGACGGTCTCTCCCCGCGATAACTCAGCGAAGAACCATCGTCCGGGAGGGGTTTATCGCGAGGGGTTTACCTGTCTCTCCCCGCGGGGGAAAATGACGAACCCGGAAATTGCCGGGTAATTTTCTGCGAATTAGAAGGTCTAGAATAATCGATGTTACGGTAGCCATCGTGTCGCGATTGCTCGATCCCTACAAATTGCGTTCCTTTAACCTCTCCGCAACAAGGCGGAGGAGTAACTTGGAATAGAGAGAGAGAGGTTTATTCAGAGGATGAAATAAGGAGGAAGAGAAAAAAAAGCATCGTTCGCTTCCGTTCTTGTTTATGGGGTCAGCCAAGGGGCGAGCGACGCTTGCTTACGGCCGATTCGCGCTTTACGGATGATTTACGGTGTTCACGGACCGATGCGTTGCCTGTGTGGGCCGAGATTACAGAGAGATATCGGTCGAGAACTCGCTACGACACGATCCTACCAACCTCTACGTCCATTGTGACGGGTCGTGCGGAGGCTGTGCTTTATGAAAATCGGCTTAATTGCCTGTTAATCGAGATACCGCGTGATGAAAATGTCAGTGATCCTGGGTAATTATGGTGTGAACCTCGGAAACGTTTATGTTTTGTGCGGTAGAAATAGTAGGTTAGGCTTAGGAGAAGGTGGAAATTGAGGAAGTTACGGTGTCGAAGAATTAATATTAGAATTGTATCGATTGAAATGGCGTGTTTTTCAAGTAGTGGGTAATTGTGGTGTGAACTTCGAGTGGTTTATTTTGCGCCTGTTCTGTTCGAGTAGAATAGTGGGTCAAACTGAAGGATGGTAGAAATTTAAAAAATTGTAGAAGGTTCTTTTACTAAGGTATTAATACCAAAACTGTATCAATCGAGAGAGTATATTTCTAAAATTATGGTGCAAACTTCAAATGCATTGTTTTACGCCTTTTTTATTCGAGAGAAATAGTGGGTCAAGCTGAAAGATAGAAATTGAGAAAATTGTATTGTAGACGGTTCTTTTACTAAGGTATTAATATCAAAATGGTATCAATTGAAAAAGTGTATTTCTGAAATTATGGTGTGAACCTCAAGTGGTTTATTTTGCGCCTGTTCTGTTCGAGTAGAATAGTGGGTCAAGCTGAAGGATGGTAGAAATTTAAAAAATTGTAGAAGGTTCTTTTACTAAGGTATTAATACCAAAACTGTATCAATCGAAAGAGTATATTTCTAAAATTATGATGCAAACTACAAATGCATTGTTTCACGCCTGTTTTATTCGAGAGAAATAGTGGATCAAGCTGAAATATATAAACTGAGAAAATTGTATTGTAGACGGTTCTTTTACTAAGGTATTAATATCAAAATGGTATCAATTGAAAAAGTGTATTTCTAAAATTATGGTGCAAACTTCAAATGCATTGTTTTACGCCTCTTTTATTCGAGTGAAATAATGGGTCAAGCAGAGAGAAGGTAAAAATTGATAAAATTACGACGTAGTAGATTCTTTCATCGAGGAATTAATATCAGAATTGTGCCAATCGAAAGAGTATATTTCTTAAATCCTTGGTAATTACGGTACGAATCTCAACTAATTTATTTCATGCTTCGTTCGAGTGAGATATCAGGTCAGGGTGAAAGAAGCTAAAAATTGCAGAAGTAACTCCGTAGAAGGATTAATATGAATTAAATAAGTACATGTCTAAATCTTCGTACGAAAATAAATGCTCCAGGGAGATCCAGAGATCCCATCTGTGCTCCGATCTTACAAACAGTAATTTCTACGTGGAAACGTGGCGTGTCCTCTCGATAAAAGCACACGATTACCAAACCGAATTAACGACGCTCGGGGCGCCGATTTCTCGCGGCATATTATCTACGCTCCACCAAGAAACCTGGTCGATTCCCATTAAACAGCGTTGCGTTCACCGAGGTCTTCTCTTCTTAAATCGAGCGTTACACTTTTCCACGCTAGTTTACCAGCGTCTTTACGAGCTTCGATCAACGCTCTGTTTAACCAAGCGAAGAGATACCACCGTCGGTTCAAAGGATGTTTGCCTTCAACTAGCTGTTCCCCCAGGATTACCAGGATCGTTTCGTGAATGAAAACCGTCTGTGTAGTAGTGTGTGTACTTACGATGTATCGCTTCGTCTTTCAGCTCTATCTCTCTGTGATTCACGAAGGAAAACGTTCCGTGAAAACTAGCCAACTTTTCGTCGAACATTTTTCTTATCTGTCGTTGAAAACGACGAGAATGGTGTTTGAATTTTCGGACGTGTCACGTTATCGTTACCTCGAGAATGGCAAACGCCACGTAATCAAGAAACTAGCTAGAACGTCGAGAAACGTGGAGGTAATTTGAATATCGAGGCGAGGCGCGGCTGCGTCATCTCTTTTTATCGACTCGCGAGGTTAGCCGTGGATAATGAGCCGCCTGGATCGCCGTTCGATGGAATATTCATCGATGTTTCGTCTATTTTTAAATGCAAGAATACCACGATGAATTTCAATGTTATTTGCGCCGTGGACGTTGATGATCATTAGCGGAAGTGTGTTTCGCCGTTTATTCTCTTCCCCTTGAATAAGTCACGTACAAGAATTAAACGTTCTTTCACGAATAAAAACCTCGTTGTGCGTACACTTTGGTAACAGAGGAATTCTCGAAAATTCAGTATTCCGAAAGCGTATCCCGAAACTGCTATCATAGAAAGAAGAAAAAAGATACACTTTCGACTGTTGGGACGGAGTAAAATGATCGATATAGAGTGTGGAGAAGGTAACGAAGAGTTGACGTCGACAGCAAAAACCGGCAGCCGTACTTATTGGACCGGAACTCGTATCCGGAACACTTGGCTCCGATCGAGCCAACCGTCTCCTCCCGTTTCTATCTCTAATTCTCTTGCCAAAGTGGCTGTCAGCCGCGGTGATTGAAGATTACCCACCGCCAGAGACACGTTAGAAATATCCTCCTCCTTCTAACAATTACCTAACAAACAATCGGAAAGAACACAGACACCGTTGTCATTCGATCTGTCGAACGAAACCGAACGATTGCACAATCGACATTCGTAATTGTTTACACGCGGTTGAAACAGAAAAATGCCGCTTCAAGTTCTCTAGCCACAATACGAAACCAAGAAGAAGAATCCCCCACTACTCTGTCGAAACGCAAACGACAACACGGTGGAAGAGACAGCAGCAGCAAGGCCTGTCGAAGGTGTAGAACACGCAGAGAGCCAACAACTGTCCGTCGTCGAATCAGACCGACACAAAGAGAGACAGAGTGGGAGAGGCGGCACTTGAGGAAGGAGCAAGAAAGACTTGCGAGCAAGGAGGGACCTGTGGCTTCTCAAGCAAGTCAGTCACACGGTCGAGCATGTTCCACTGGGACGTCCGCTCGTTTACCGCGATCGCGATTCCGCTTCGAAATCGATACTCCGCCTCGCTCGTGTTCTTCCCAAGGCAATAAAAGCTACTCTTCCAACGTTGTACAATCGTTCGATCGCAAGTGAAGTGTTGTTGTTCGTTCTCCACCCGCGCGTTCGTTAAGTTACCCTTGAGAATCAGTGGAAGAATTTCAGTCTGAGGAATAGTAGAAGAAGGCTGCGAGGAGGTCGAATCGGAAAATTCAAGTTCAGTGTTGTGTCTGGTCTGTGTGAACACGTGTTCGTCGTGGCTCTGTGCCGTGTGTAGGAGATGTGTTTAGCTAGAGGAGAGGGATCGAAGCAAAGTGGTCGGTCACGGTGAGTCGCGTGCTCCGTCGATGTTTCCCCGGGTGAAAAGTGCGCCGACGGAATTTCTAAATCCACCGAGGAGAAAGGCTACTTTCTAGCTAAGGCTTGCACGTACACACACAGACACATAGGAGAGGAGAGGATGGTGTCGATTTTCCGAGGGGCAGCGGCCCGCCACGAACAGCCGGGATCGATAGCTCGCGTTGGGCCTGCTTGATGGCTGGCTGGCTGGTTGGCGCTTGTGTACTGTACATGACTATACCGCCCGCACGCAACCTTTAGCGCGAGCCATCAGCCGCTAAACAGCCGATTAAATTTACATGGTGACGCAACCCGCGCTGCTGCCCGTCCGCGACGGCCTATGAAGAAGCCAGTTACGAACGTCACGGCGAAAAAGAGGCGGCTCTTTTTGCGCGACAGCCACACTTTGTTGCGTCGCTTGGTCTTTTCGTCGTGAATCGGTGGTTTTTTTTGGTTTGTTCACGTTCGGAAGAAAAATGTGATCCACGTGTGAGGTGGAAGTATTGATTATTTTGCTGGAGATTTGGTTGGGTTTGTTATTTTTCGAGTAACGAGAGTTTGTGGAATATCTGGGAACTGAAGGAATTGTATCATATACGTCAGATAGTGTTTGTTATTATTGACAATATTCTATATTAAAGTAAAGTTAAAGAATTTCAGTGGAACATTGGGGAACTGAAAGAATTCTATAATACATCAGACCGTGTTTACTGTGTATCAGAACATTAGGATACTGTGATCTACATATGACGACTGAAAAGGATTAATTAATATTAACAGTAATCTCTGTTAAAGCAACAGGAATCTCGGAACATTAGGATACCGTGATCCACGTGTAACAACTGAAAGGATTAATTAATATTGCTGTTGACAGTACTCTCTGTTAAATTAAAAAGAATTCTCAGAACATTGGGATACTTGTCCTCCACGTGTCACAGTACACTGTTGGTTATTTATTTGGGTAGAGATCAGGTCGCTTCGTTTGGTCGAAGCGTGCCAAGCATCTCTAAAGGGACAAAGTATAATTTGTCGGAGAAAGTATGAATAGTTGAGGGAAGAGTGGTAGCGTCGGTATCGGTATGTCAGTGTTGATTAAATTCCGATGATATGGGAGCAGGAGACATGAATAGAGAGATACCGAGCAGCACCCTCGCGACTCTCAGGGGGATCCTGGTGAGCTCGTTGTCGAGGGAGAACCTGGGCCCGCACGATCTACCCGTGCACGAGAACGGAAGGCATCGAGCCAGCAGGAAGGTGCACTTTCGCGAAGGTACATTTAGAGGTTGCATCCTGCGACCGGTAGTCGATCATCATTTAAATATAAACGGAGGAAGCGGCGCACCCGTCGCATTTTTGCACGATTATTGAACAGGAATTATTACGTTTACCAGAAATAGAAATTATGACGTTTAAGACAATTTTTATTTTTTTGCATTTAATCTAACAGAAAATACCTTGAACTATTCAAGAAATAGATGTCACTTTGGTGCAGGAATTATTACGTTTACCAGAAATAGAAATTACAAAGTTTAAGTAATTTCTTTTTTCTATGTAATTTAATGCAAGAATATTAGAGAACCTTGGGCTATTTAAAAAAAAAAGGAAATAGGTGTCAGTTCGATATAGGAATTATGTTTACTAGAAATAAAAATTACAAAGTTTAAGTAATTTTCTTTTTCTATGTAATTTAATGCAAGTATATTAGAGGACCTTGAGCTATTTAAACACGAATAGATGTCACTTCGATGCAGAAATTATTAGGTTTACTAGAAATAGAAATTACAAAGTTTAAGTAATTTCTTTTCTATGTAATTTAATGCAAGGATATCAGAGGACCTTGGGTTATTTAAAAAAGGAATAGGTATCACTATCTGTGGTATTTAAAAAAAAGTAGGTATCATTGTCGATTACTTTCGATGACAACGCACAGAGAAGGTTCGTTCCACGCATTGCGTTACTTCGAAAGAAACTATAACACCGTATGCGCTAAGCGGAGGAGAAAGTTTGAGAAGATTCCAACCGCGATTCGATCGTTTGATAGTGAAAATCGCGCGTAACCGGGATGCAACGGTTCACGAGCACACACACGTCTCATACACACTTTTAGTCTCGCGTAATTTAACAATTTACCTTTTCCTGCGAATTCACGCGAACCGCATTCCCCTCGTGATGAACGTATCAAAATGAAACACCTCGACTCTGAACGTCGTCGTTCGTCTACCCGACGAGATTGGTCATCGCCGGATTCGTTATTCCATTCACGACACCAGCTGTCATCCTTATGAATCGAGTATGCCGATGAAACTTTCTACGGCAGGCGTTAAGAAACCTAACACTCGAGGTGTGGCTCTTCACGCGAATTCGTCCTTCTTCCTCGTTAGACAATCTCCGATAAAATATTCGCGTGATCCCCTCGTTGCCGGATTGTCGAGGCGTTCATCTCCAATTGGAGAACCTCTTCGAGGCGAGTTTCCACGGAAAGGAGACGAATATACACCATTAAGCCGGATTTAACTCGTTCCGGTGGTCTCAGCCTAAGCTTGGCTTAGAACACGCCCACGATCGGTATTTCTTTCCTATGTTCCTGTACAGACGGAGACGGCGAACCTTTGCTTTCGTCTGATCGAATCGGATTCTCGGTAGACCACAGTATTTCCACCATTCGTTTCTCAAATTTTCACTCTCACTTTGACCGATACGATCAACTTCGAAATTCGTCTTCCCTCTTTTTTTAGACACTTCTTCTTCCTTCGCCACACCGGCTGGAGTTACTTATTACGAAGCTTTAATTAAAGTAAGACGCAAAGGCGCTTAGCGTTTACATGTAACGGGTCGCGGATTTTTCTCGTGAAACCCTAATGAAAGGCTTCCAAGCGCGGGTAACGTTAGCCCGACATTGTTTGCCCTTACGTAGCGAGCGTCGTTTCCTTTCCAGAATCGACGTAATTGCCGCACGCGGGGCAGCGTCCATCGGAGAAGGGAGAGAACTCATCGCCAGTTCCGTGACTAATAGATCTGCTGATGTCACGCGCTAAAAAGTCCGTCTCTCCGCGCTTCACGCCCCTGGAATCGCGTTTGATAAACGACTCTTCGCTCTCTCCTCTCCTTTTTCATTCCCTCTCCTCGCCTCCTCTTTTGTGTCCTCTAAACGTGCGTGGTTTAACGGTCGACGATGTTTCCCCGAAGTTTCGACGGATAGTCAGTGACGAGAGGTGAAGCCGCCTTCGAACGACGAGGAGGACTTCCGGAATGGTGTTCCACCATCGATGGAAACGTTCCCCGGTTCGCCTGTTTCCCCAAGTTTTCGCGCGGTTTGATTGCTTTCAGCGATCACTGCGGACGTGGTCACATCTGCCACGTTTCTCCGCGAATCGAATCGAATCGAGATTCGATTACGCGTGAGAGTTCTCGTTTTTTTTTTCTCTCTTCCGAGAAAGTTTTATCGAGTTACGCGAGGGAAAAGGTCGAGACCTACTGCTACGTACCCAGGTCACCGATTTCGATTATCGTTCTTTTGGAAAATGTCCGAGCTGCCGGTGGAAGAGTAAAAATAAACCTTGTAAATGAACGTCATCGTGCAAGCGACGTTCCCTCTATTACCTATGGAAATAAGCTGGTTTCGGTTTCTCGTTAGTTCCATTCTAACTTCTAGAAAATACTGTTTTCCGTTTAGTTCGAAGTCGGTGTTGGAAATGTGAACGGGGGACGAAAAGTTGCAGTCGATTCGCGTTCCGCAACGTCCTCCGGAAAAGGGTTGGAAAACGGATTAAAAGAGAGTGTGGGGAAGCAGGGTGTGATGGGTGACGCGGGGCAATCGTTTTAGCGAAGGTAGCCTAACGGAATTGCGTGAATCAGAAGCGATGGGATCATTAATTGGGGCGTGGATTGATTTATCTGGTAATTAACAATTACCATCGAACGATGCAACCTAGTGGGACTACGAAATATATATTCCGCGTGTTTCGTTATCGTCTTTTCCATTACCGATTAGTAAATCGTTCGATGATATTTTTTTTACTCTCTGTAGGGACAATTACAGAGAGCTTAGCTGCTCTTCTCTCTCCTATCTGTTTCTGACTATTTAACGACTGACACGTTTCTGGAACGGAATTTACGAGCGAACGAAGGTGCTTTAACGCGGCGATGCGTGCATATAGACGCGTAATAAAACGCGTACGGCGCGCGTTACGCGACGCTAAGTCGCGAAGAACATTTTAATAATCGACATTGATGTTTCTTTTCTGTTTCAGGTGAGTACTTCTGCCGTGAAGTGGGGGAGAGACGGTGTGTGTGCGAGCGTAAGGTGGCTGCCGGGCTGGATGATAGCGGTATGTAGAGTGAAAACCGGGAAGAGAGTTTTCATCGACACACGAACGACACACGGGGTTCGAATTCTCGTCGTAGAAACTCGATCGAGGGGGATAAGCGAGCCGTAATAAATGAATTCATTACATTCGAGCCGTGTCATCGCGTTTAATATTAAACACCGCCGTGAAATCGGGCTAATTGCGAAACTTGCCCATCGTCATTCGAAACGAACGCGTCGAAGAGTAAGTCGGAGGCACTTGCGTCTTTCACCGAATGCCTTTCAAAGCTGAAGGTGTTAATGAAACTCGATTGCAGCGGAAGATTTGTCTGTTAAAGGGATACGAATGGGTAAATTTTGGGATTTTTTTTTTTATTGGTAATTACTGAATGGGAAGTTTCAATTTTTGTAGGAGGTACAAATGTAACTTTTAGCTTCTTTTCAGAATTTTTGGAAAGTAGAAATGTTGCAAAGTGGAGGAGTTATTCGCTAATTGCGAAGCCTCTGCTGCTGGGACATCGCTGGAAAGGTTCGGAACGTCGGGAATAAAAAATTCTTGTTGATTTGTGAATAAAAGTGTATGACCTGCAGGGTAGCGTACGATTTTTCAAGAGTGGTAGTCTGAAGAGGAAAAACCTCTTTTTATCAAAAAACAAATCAACGCAAAAGTTTCTAAAAAATTGAATAATTAAAATATCGAAAAAATCACACATCACACTGTAGGTAATACATTTTTATTTGCAAATAAAGAAGAACCTTTTCTTTATCCAATCTTGATGCTCCAGAATGATGTAGCATTTTCACTTTTTCAAAAATTGAAGAAAAAGGCCGAAAGTTACATTTACACCCTTAAAAAAAAAATTGAAGCTTCTCATTTAGCAGTCCCTAACGAAAAAAATTCCCAAACTCTTCCTTCCTCCTAGCTGCCTCAGGCTAATGTACGCCCTGAAATTCCACCGCCAGTCGAATAATCATTTCACCGAAGAAATCTCCCAACAAGTATCCGTATTTCTCAAAATTAACACCGCCAAGAAACAGCGAGGTCTTCGACTCACTATCGGCTTCGAACACGATAAACTGGACTCTCGACTCGAGTCAAGATTTTCCAAGGAGATGACCTACAAACACGAGAACTGCACTTTATAATCTGATACGGAAGACGCTTCTCCAGATAAATCGCGCGCCTTTATCCACGAATCTATCTAACGTAAAATATTTACAGTTAGAGGTGCACATGTATGCTTGTTTCAACGGTGCTCTCTCTCTCCGCGTTCTGTGTACACTTTGATTACGTGTGTATCGCAGGAGGGACGTGAACGGAATCGTAAATCCACCGTGCTAACGTTCTTCAACCCCTCTACTCTCATCCCCCGTCACCGTCCCGCGGAGTAATAACGTGTTCGTGCGAAATTGCGCCACGGATGCAGGCGCATCCCACATTCTCGTTATATTTCATATGCACTTTGTCAAGCGAGCTGAGGGCTCGAGATGAGACGAGAGGATCTCTGCGAGCGTGAAGAAGCCCTCCTCCTTGACACTTTATCCGCAGGCTCGCGCAGAGCGCGGCAAAGGGGAACAGGCCGTGACGAGCAATTAATTTCGTGCTCGTCGAACATTTGACGGCACCGCTGACGAAACTTTCCTCTGTTCTCTAACAGGAGGGTCTCTACCTACAGTCGATAATTTCCAGAAGTAGAGAGGCCTCCGTTAATGAGCGGTCTAACTTCCTTTGTTACTGCGAAAAATTCTGTTGTTCAAAGAGTAGTACGGAAACATAAGCGTTTAGATACGGAGAGCGTTAGAAGGGAAAAATTCTGGGAGTTAGTAGAGGTTTCGAGTAAGAGAGGTTATTAGCAGTGTTATTAGAACTGTGCTTTAATTTATTCCTTCGATATTTTCACAGTGAACTGCTTTTGCGATCAAACCGCGTGCACTGTTTATCTCTGTAAAGAAATGAATTAACG